CATGTATCCACAGACAATGTTTCACACACAGGACCTATACCTGACCTTTAACAGCAGTGCTAATCACTTCTCAGACGTTGAAAGGGTTCCCTTGCCAAAATAAAGTCTTGCAGCTGGGGTTTTTCCCCCCAGGTCTCAAACACCACTGAATTTCTTTAGTATGTAATACTGCTCCAGCCATTCATTTTTATAATGAACTTCTAATCCTATAATAGAATAGAAGTTTCAATATCACTCACGGGAAGAAAACGGGTAAGGGCAGGGAAGAGTTTCTGCTGTAAATCACTGGGAATTAGTTTCCAGCTGGAAAGACAGCAGGGCTGCCAGTCAGCCCTCTGATTTTGCCTCCTCATTTCTCCCTTCTACCAGTCTCTTTGAAACCGGGTTCCATGAAAAAGCAGAGCCAGGACAGGGTTTTCCCAGCTCCTGCCCTTAATTCCTCGCCACCCCTGGTACTGATGTCAGGTCACCAGGACACAGCGATGCTGGCAGGCATCAGTCAGGAGGGCAAAGCCTGGGTGATGCCTTCACCCAGAGCAGAAGCTGTACCATGCCAAGGAGTAGCACACACACATCCAACAGCAGCAGCCAGCTCCAGGCTGCTTGAGAGCCACCCCCTGACCAAGAACATGCTGAGCAGATCGCATCTCAGTAGTGCCACAGTTAAATGAGAAACAAAACCAAAACCAAACCTATCAGTCTGATACTTGAACTCAGGTTAGTCCCACCTATCACCATCCGAAACCAGCTCCAAGAGCTTACCTGCAGAGCAGGATGCACGACATGGCTCATTTCAGTTCAGTCTGGCATCTCAACCCAAAACCACCTTTATTAGGGCAGAGGGATGAGCCAAACATTCTTGTGGTACCATGTGAAAAATAGTGAAACATAACTCAGGCTTCCATGGAATTTTGCACAATTCAGTACCATAACAACAATTCTGTATTTTATCAGTTTCAGAGCTAGAAGCTTAACTATCAGCTTCTAAAGAACACAGACTAGGACTAAAAAAAGCCTTCCCTTTCTGAACAATTAGATATGGTATTTGATAACTAAACATGGCATTAAAAAAAGTAGTTAAACTCAAGCTTCTAATTCTGTGGAATGAAATTATTTATCACATGTTAAAAGTAAAGGCAGGATCTTTCAGATAAAGCACAGAGACCTGAGAGCCCCACTTTATTAAATATTTCCTCTCCCCACTCACATCTCAACCACCACTGGAAATATGATACCGAGAACTTGTCCATCATTCATTCCATAATCACACAAGCTTAACAGTACCACATCTACTAATCTAAAACTTCTGAGCTACAGCAACAAGGCAGGACACAAAATCATGACAAAAAGCTGTCATTTCCCATTTGTGCACACAAGCCCAGCGATGACCCACAGGAGGACACAGAAGGCCACAAAATCTATGCATACCTATTGACCTGTCTGCAGGAGTCCAGGCTGACAGCCTGAATTGCAAAACAGCCGTTTACCATCCCATCCTCTCTGTGTCCTTGCGAGTAAGCTCTCCAGCAGCATTCCACTGCTTCTACTGCTCCAGCACTCCCGTGCCTCATTGCTCCACACCAAGATGCATCCAGACACTGCAAGCTCTGAAAAATCAGTACATTGCTGGCTGCTATTTAACATGAACGTGTGCCTAGCCCTGAACTCGGCTAGACACAGCTACCGCTCAGGAATCAAACCTCACAGCAGAGCCCGCATTCCCAGCTCTCACTGCTAAATCGGATGGCACGCAGCTGCCAGCCCGGCCGGGGGCGGGAGGAGGTGAAGGAGGGTGTGACGCAGCTCGCACCGCCGCTCTCGCCAAGGGAGATCCCGGCACGCAGCCGGGGATCACCGCCGGGCACAGCCACCGGCCGGAGCGCGGCTCGGCACCGCCAGCCGCCACACCGGCCCCGGGACAACGGCCAGGGAGCCCAGAGAGGTCGGGCTGCGTGTGCACACAAGGATGTGACCTTTACCGGGTTCACCGCCGCCCCATGCGCTGTGTTTACTACAGCCGGTGCCTTCTGGCTGGTGGCGGCGATGCCACCGCCTGTCCCCGCAGCTCAGGGCGGCTCCTCCGTGCCGGAGGGGCGCGGGGAGGAGAAAGGGCCGCTGCTCCGCCGGGAAGCGAGGAGGGAGCGGCCGGACACCCCCCGCGCGCACGGGGACAGCGTCCCTCCGCCGCAACCGCCCGGACAGCCGGGCCACCGGCCGGCACCTCCGCCGACTCCCCGCAACCTCCCGGTCCGCCCCTTCCCCCGGCCCGGGAGAGCCAAACAAAAGGGAACGGACGGACCAAAGCACAGCAATCCCCTTCCCAGGCTCCGCGTCCGAGGGCGGCGAGAGACACCGCGCCCCGTATGCAACCCTGCCCCAGGGAGGTGGCACCGGGCTAGTACAAAAAGGTGTGGACACCCCAGAAAATTATTATTATTATGATTATTATTATTCCTCCAATACGGCCGGCGAGGCACTCACCCTGCTCGGAAATCGGAGCAAACTCTCATTCACGCTCCCCGCCGTGCCCAGGCCGCCGGAGCCAGGCGACGCCCCGAGAGCCGCCGGCCGCTGTGCTGAGCCGGGCCGGGCCGGGCCGGGCCGGGCGCGCCCGCTCCGCCCGGACAAAGCGCGGCGCCGCTGCGGGCGAGGCGGCAGCAGGTGCCCGTCCGCCGCCGCGGCCGTGCCGAGCGCCCCGCGCAGCCGCCGCCGCAGCGCCCGAGCCGCTCGCCGGGGCCGCGCCGCGCGCCCCGCCCCCGGCGGCCCCGCGGCGGGAGCCCGCAGAGGCGGGGGCGGGCGGAGCCGGCGGGCGGGCTATGGGCGGTGCGGCACGGCCCGGCCAGCAGCAGCAGCAGCAGCAGCGGCGGCGCACAGCGAGGCGCCCGGCCGGTCTCAGCCTGGTCGGGACCGGAGGCGGGTCCCGGTCCCGCGGCCCACCCGGCGCAGCGGCCGCCGGATCTGCGCGGAGCGGCAGCGAGCGGCCCCCCAGCCCCGCCGCGCGCACCTGCCCCGCGGCACGGCGGCGCCTGGAGCTCGCCCGCGGAGGAGCCCAGACGCCCAGCAGGCAAGACCCTCCCCTGCGCTGGCTGCCCGCGGTGCGGCAGCGGCGGGCGCCGCTCGCCGCAGTGTCCGCAGCGGGGTGCGCTGCCCGAGCGTGCGAGCTGCCGCACCGCTGTGCCGCGATGCGGGGTGCCCTGACCTGCCTTGTGCTCGACCCTGAGCCCCGCCGAGTCGGGGCTTCGTCCTTCTCCGGGCTTGGCGAATGTACCGAAGTGTGTCAGCCTTGCCACTGCTTTGCTGCGGTCGTAGGAATCGTATCGCCGGGGCTCAGTGTGCTCCGGCTAACCGGGGGCTGAAGGTGAAGCCTGGGCCGTGGCAGGGCTGGGGGCCGCGGCCGGGCTCTGCCCGCGGTGCCGCGGCCGGGCGGGCCGTCTGCTGCCCGAGCGCGCACATGCTGAGGAGCCCGGGCCCTCGGGGAAGGAAGGGAGGGACTGTCCTGTGTACAGACCCCCGCTGTGTCAACACTCTGTGAGGTTGTTAATTATTTAGTAAGTGTATAGGGCTGTACACCATTGCTCATGCGCTGTTTTTTGTGTTTTGTGTTGCTTGTGGTTAACCCTGATCTTTTTTCCATAGCTTAAAAAATGCAGGGAGTATATGCCACAGGGAAACCCTTTTATTTCTCATTCCTCTCACCTCCAGTCTCACAGGTTTGGGATGCAGGGGCTGCCTAACTGAGTGGCTGCTGTGCAACATAAGCAATATTACACAATTTTGTAATAGATTTGTCTACCTCAGCATGCGCCTCTAGCGCAATGGAGATGAGCTGTGGTTTGCTGCGCGGTGTCCTCCAGCCAGCCCCTGGAGAGGGTGGCCCTGTCTCCACTGCTTATCTCCAGCAGATTTGTCCCTTTGCAGGGTGGTATTGACGGCACGTTCTGTGCTCACCAGCATCCTTGTATTTCTCGTCATCTCGTGCCCTTTGCATGCCGGCTTTGTAACTCTTTCATTTTTTGATATCAAGAATTTATGAATCAAAAGATGGGGGAGTGTGGAGGCTGAGTCAGATCGTGAAAAAGGAAAGCCAAATGAGAGTGTGCAATTGCATATCACATTTACAAACATGGTTTCATTCATCTCCATATGCTGCTCCTGTTACTACTAATAAAGCTCTGGTTTCTCAGACTGGAGCTACCCTGGGAGCACTGATCTTCCTGCCGTTTTTTCTCTATAGCCTCCATAGTATTTGTGTTACAATATGTTATTTTCCTGATTATGTTTTCATTACATTGAACAGGTTAATATCAGAAAGAATTTGATAATATGAATGTACTTCCCACACACTCCCTCTTGTTCCTATTATTTGGTGTTGAAAGGAGTGGCAGTTTATTTACAGGCAGCAATTTCTTTCCCTCTCTACTGGGCAAGTTTCCTAATTCTAATTAAAAAAAAAAAAAAAAAAAAGCTTTTTTCCTGAATGCTTACCCCTGTTTCCTTCCTCTTTCTTTCTTAATTTTACTAATGATAGCCAAATCCATCATCGTGATTTTGGAGCTGCAGGAAATTTACCTTTGTCTACAGAAAGATTTCTGCAGAAGCCTCTATAGGTAAAGGAAGCCAGAGACGAAGGTCTGCTTTGAGCAGAATGGTGTCTGGGGTCTACTTTCCCAGCAGGGAGGTACAACTGTAGTGTGTACAGTAATTAATTTAATCCAGTGTTGAGAGAGAAGGAAGAATGATTGTATTGGAAAAGAGGTTTTTTTCAAGTATCAGATGTAAGATTTAAGCAGCAATTTCAATGACCTTTGTGATTTCTGTTTCAGACAAAAGGCAGCAACCTAGTACAAGGATATCATTATCTTCTCCCAGTGTCATCCTTTGTTCTCCTTGGGGTTAGCCTGTCACTTCCTAGGGTTTGCCTCTGTCCCTTGTTGGGACAGCAGCACCTCTCACCCGTGACTCTGAGCAGTGCTGTGCTAGCAGGTGATTTTTTTTTTTTTCCTGCTGCTCATTTTCTCTGCTGCGCAAGGTCTTTTTTTCTTCTTGTGACCCATCTTACGAATTTCTCTTTTCTTTGTCTTATTGATACTTAAGTATTTCTGCCTTACCAAACATTGTGCTCATTACTTTACCTTCCTCCTCTCTCTGTTTTTTGTCCACTCATGTCTTTTGTCTCATTTTTGTTCCCTTTCATATATCTTCTTCTTACACCTCTTTTTTTCCCTTCTGTGTCATTCTGTTTACCCTCTCCTTCTCTCTCCTTTCTGACATCTCACTTCTGTCCACTGCCTAACTCTGCCTTCCTCTTGACATTTCTTCTCCAAGCTGTTCCTTTGGTCACTGTCCTTTTCCTCCCTTACATTTACATATATTTTACTCCCTTACATTTACGTGTATTTTACTTGTGTGTGTGTATATATATATATATATATATATATATATACTTACATATATTTCCATCCCATGTCTTTCACTCTCGACCTGAAAAGAAGAAATTCCTCATGCTGATAGTCTGATCCTATTTCATCCCTTTTGTAGCATCTGAAGTACACTGTTCCTGCCCATCCTCAAACATATACTGGGTAGACTGAAGAATTAAGTATGTGGGAAATGTTCCTAAATTCAGATGTGTACTTAAGAAAGCATCTTGCTCAGGCTGCACTGTGAACAGAGCAGATGTTGTGCTCCCACTGACAGTTCCAGAGGAGGACTTCAAGCCCGTTGAACTCAAAGACCTAATGACATTCTTTTTACATTTCTCAATTTCAGAGGTTTGTTTTTTTTTTTTTTGTAAATAAAAAGACTTAAATTTTAAGTGCGGGACACTGCCATATCTTTGAATATGCTGGACTGACCCAAAATAAGACCTCACAATATATTTTTCTTTTTTCACCCAATTGTTTTGTTTTATGCATTTGTTAAGCCACTTTTTTGCAGTTATTGGAAGAGAAATGGTTTCTCCTCAGCAGAGCTAAGCTCTTCCTCTGAAAGGGGTTCTGTGTGGGGTGAGACTGGGATTTCAGCTTGTCAACTTCCCTTTTTTCTGGAGCCATAGGGAGAGGAGAGAGCTGTGACTGCAGGATCATATGCATTGGGTGGGAGATGGAAGAATAGATGCATAATCCAAAATTGCTACATTAACCTCAGAGGGTGGGGGGGAAGAGTTGTTTAATAATTTTTTCCCTTGACTACCACTGACTACGAACGCCATCATTGGGGATCAAGAGCAATTGTTAGATTTTGCTATTTAGATACAAGTCTCAGTTTTTAAAAATACAATTTATTATTTAAACTACTTTTTTTTGTTCAAAGAGCATACTACTAACTGGCTGGAATGAAAACAGCTCCATCCCACGGATTCCACCTCCGCTTTCTGGCAGCTTACCTGACTCATAAAGAGAGTGGGGGGTTTATATGCCACCTACATCAACTCAACATTTTCCTTTGTGGTGAGACTTAATCACCACCCTTGTCATATTATTTCATCGACCCTCTTGGAGTAGGAATTCTTTACCTTTCAAACCAGCCTTAAAAGTTCTTATAAATAGGGTGAGGGTTTTTTTTCTTTTCCTGAATTTGAAAGTACATAGGTGGTCCAATGCAGCAGGGTTTTCTGTGTAATTTTTTAAAAGGTAACCTTTACCTTAGGACCATGGATGAGAGAGTTTCCATTTGCAGAGGACATAGCTCTGACATGAGATGTGTCGCCTAAAGAGTTGAAATCCATCAGCTGAAGGTAGAGGACCATCCCCCAGGTAATCACTGCAGGTGGTGTGTGCTGGGGGAGAAACTGTGGGCTTTTAGACACAATGATCAAGGATGTGAGTGGGCAGAGTTTGTCAGAGGCAGTGCCTATATTAGACACAGTCAAGAAAGACAGATATGCTTTTGGGCACATCAGATCTCTCCTTATAACCTATTTGTGTAACCTCTGTGACTCTGTCTCTTGTGGAGAGAGTTCCTATGAAGTAGACTGACATTTGTCAAGCAGAAAATACTGCATGAGAGAAGACTGAAGAAATGAAAACAAAGCACAGAGGTGGCAATGCAATAGGTGGTGTGTACAGGAGGCAATGGAAGAAAGAGTAGGAGAATAGAACCACCCCAGGTTGTTGGGAGTTACAGAGAGGACACAAGTTATGCTAGAAAGCTGGGGCAAGAGGTATGTGACATTTTTTTCTGAAGAAAATTCTTGAAATGACATAGGGGAATCGCAGAAAGGAAGGTATTCTGAAGCTCAGCATTTGAAGATAAAACCTAGTGCGAAAAGAGGCCAGGGAAAGCATTTATTGAGAGTCTTCATTTCTCTATCACAAAGGCAGGTAGAATCAAGGAACAGGAAGGAAAGGGAAAATTGAAAGGACTGAAGTGAACCATTGGTAAATATCAAAGAAAGAAGCATAGGGAAGGGAAGCTGCTTTCTTATTGACAGAGAGGCAGAAGTCTTCTTTAGGTCCTCTGGGGGACCTGGAAATTGACTGAGTGACAAGTGTGGCTCTGCGAGATGGGAGACAGAAGATCCTGTCAGGAAGGAGCTGTCTGACCATACCTAATATAAATATAGGCTGTTTTCATTCCTGATGTGTTTGTCTTAAAATGCACTGCAGGTGCAGCAGCTCTGCCCTGAAGAGATGGAGGCTGCAGCTGTCTGGACCTTCCAGTACCACCGTCCTCTTTCTTGCATGCCAGAATTAACCCTTCTCTCATCTCCTGCACTGTGGGTCCTCAGCCCAGCTCCAGTCATCCTTTATCGACTGCAGCTGCCTGATAACTGGGACACAACTCAAGAAAAGGATTTAGCAGTCACCTGCAAAGATATGCTTCTGGAAGCAGAGGTACTAATGAGCTCTGTGGAAGGAGTGTGCTGGGAGAGGCACCAGCAGGGAGGGAGAAGAGCAAAGGGTGAGCAGTTTGTCTGAGGAAGAAACAGCTTGGGAGTCTGTTGGACTAAAGCAAAGGAGAAACTAAGGGCATGGAAAGCTCAGGAGGAAAGTGGATGTGGGAGGATGGAGCCAAGGATGGTTAAAAATAATAGTCTTGTACAGCTAATACGGCACTCCACTGGTATTTTAAACCTTCTGCCTTTCTGGGTTCTGAAAAGTGAACTTTACATTTAGTTGTTCTTAGCACTACTGACCATCCAGGACCACTGTCATTTTGTCCAGCAGCCCCCATTTTCTTCACTGCTGGTCTAGTGGCTGCAACCAAGTCTTCAGTATACTGCTTATTTACATCTTGCCTGATGTAAATATTGGTGTATCCCAAATTATACCTTGATTTCTCTGGAAAGGAGGTGGTGTCTTTTAGCTTGCATCAGCATAGTGACTAGCACAATAAATTCATGCAATAATCATGCTATCACAAATTAGAGGTAAATAAAAACACTATTCACAAGCAATTCGTGCAGTGTGGAATTTGGGCATGGGCTAACTCAACAGCCATTTCTTTTAAAGTTTTTGGAGAGCTGCCAGTTTTTCAACCCTGTGGCTGTTCAAAGTACTTTGTTAGTCTCTGTACAAATACCACATGTGAGACAGGACCAAGTGGCAGCAGACCTGCTGGGGCTTTGAACCTCCTGGCACTTGTAATAGATGTGAGAAAAAGAAGGAAGGAACAATAAATAAAAGAATAAAGGAATGAGAAGTACAAAGTGAAGGACATCTGTGTATTTTGATAACAATTATTCAGTAGCACAGCACCATAGAAAAATGTTGCCTGGTTAATGTAGAGCAGTTACTTGCTATGCTGGAGCCATTTCCTAGAATTTTTATAATACCAAGTTTTGTCTTTGAAATATGGAAGAAATGGATTTCCTTGTCTTTCTCTCCTTCTCCCTTGCCTTTATCCTCCCAGTTCCAAGTAAGGATGTGAGGTTCCCTTTCATCTCCAGTGTAAATTTATTCATGAGCATTTTAAAACAGTTTATTGTCAGTTCTTGTTTCAGAGTTTACTTTTACTTTCAGCAGCTCTTCTGTCTTTAGTGCTTGTCCCTGTCTGTTTCTGGAGAAAAGCCAGCTTGCCTCTTCAGGGGAGCTTTGCCAGAGCTGGCTATCCCAGCCCTGCTTCTCTCCTCTCCTTCCATCTAACAGACTCTCCATTTTCCTGTTTCCTACAGAAGATGACCTCTAATGCTCAGAGGACTCTCTGCCTGTGGTAATGTGATCTGGTGGCAGCAGCAGAAAAAAGTGTCAGTAGTCTTGGATTGTGTTCCCAATCCAGTTATTGAATGATGTGAGATCTGGGGAAGGACATTTATCTTTGTTTCCCTGCAGGCTCCAGTAATAGTCACACATCTCTGTTTTACAGTAAAATTGCTTTTACCATGCCAAATTAATTATTAATACACACATTACAGCATTACAGTATTTTCAGTATCCTGTAGCAATGAAGTCAGATGCTGTGTCACTTGCTGTCCTTTAGCTTGTGGTATGGCATGCAGTCCTTTTGGATATACCTGTCTGGTACCCCACCTCCTGTGTTTACAGTCTGTGTTCCCAGGCTTTACCACCATTATAAAGCAGCTTTCACATATCCCTGACTTTTTTGATTGCATGCTTTCTGCTATTTTTTCTGAAACTGTTTTCAGGATTTGCTGAAATGTGAGTAATGCAACTGGGAAGTGATGATTGAAGTGAAAGACTCATTTAGAAGGAATGCCCATTTAGAAGGAATGTAATCATAATTGATTACAGCTGCACACATCATGCCCTTGCCTGACACTTTCTACCCGTGTAGGGGGATAGTTGGTGATGGTAATGTCCAGGTCTGTTGAGCATACATGCCTTGGACCCATACAGATACCTTGAAGGTTGTTAGAAGGTTTTGCTGGGTTCATTTTATGCATGGCATTGAGAATATGTGGTAACTACATAGGTACATCACTACATTGTGATGTTCCTATCACATCACTCATAAAGCCTTAATGACCTTGGTCTGGTCTTCAGCCTAATATAGCTTACACATAGCTTTTCACTTCAGCATGGGTTTATGTCCAAATTGTTATTCTCAGTCAGTGGGGTTTGGCCAAAGTACACATTTTGGGGTGCAATCTCAGCTTTTGTTTCTTTTTGCTGCAGCAATTATCTGTGGTGCTGGAAAAGGGTTACAGGAACCTGCTAAAGCCTGGGTGTGGGGTGTGTAGGAGGAAGAGGTGCTGCATGCGTCTGCATTGGTTCCCACATAACTCCTACCTTAGCTCGGGGCAGCTCTCATTTCATGGTGAAGCCTCTTCTGTCTCTTCCACCCACTCTCTCCCTACGGCCTGCAGGTGTTGGGCTGTAGCTTCTCTCCTATTTTTGGCTGAATAGCTGAATTAGCACATTTTTAATGGATGCCTTTTTCAGCACTTATGAAAATAGTCTAGAATTCTGATAATTCTCCATTACTCCATAAAATGTATAAAATGCATAAAATGCATAAAAATAGTTTGCTTAAATGTGATAGCAGTTCTTCAGGCTTATTATCATTACTAGTTTAGAGACCATGGTTCCACTGTAGAAGGAGTTATTTAGATATAGCAGCCATAGTGAGTTTGTGCTCTTCTCCTTTTCCAGAGAAATTGAAATTATGTGGATAAAAAGCAAGTGATTTTCATTTTTGATACAGCACAGAGCAATTTGGGGTTTTTTTTAAGGCAGTTTTTATTTTCAATAGCATAGGTGCTTTACCTATTCCGTGATATCCTTTCTTCCACTGGTATTACAGACCCCAGTCATCAGTGATTTTGGAGATAGGTTCACAGGGTTGCTGCTGACAGGTTGGCTCCCAGTGGGTCCAGTTGAGTTGAAGTGGGATATGAAGGGGGAGAAAGGCTATTGCTTGAGGAAAGGATTCATGGCAGAAGCAGAAAATCCTGATGATTCTAAAACTTGGAGAGGAAGCTCATGGTGCATTTTATGTGTGAGGTTTTGAGTTATTGATAAAACACCAGGAAGGAAGTGAGCCTGCTTGCATTCTCTGTGGGACTCCATTGGGCTTCCTGAGGATGGTTGTGAAAATACAGAATCATGAAATGGTCCAAGTTGGAAGGGACCCACAAGGATCATCAAATTTAACTCGTACAGGTTTCTCTGAAACCCTGACACTCTGTGGGAAAGCTGACTGGCGTGTAATTGCAGCAGATGCTGGTACTGGTGTACCCCTCATACATTTAACAGGTATCCATAGAAAATGTCATTCTCCTTTTTGTACTTACTGGATACTTGCTCAAACATGTAGAGCGGAGCTATTCCAAAGCAAGTACACAATGGGTACTCTTACAGAGAGCAAATAATAAAGCTTTTTTAAGTATTTGTTTATTAACAGTAACAAAACCTTGATAAAATATGAAGTCATATTTTGGTGAAGTAAGGAGCTTTTTGGATTCCAGTGGAAATCAGTGTCAGCTGTTGGTGTTAAACATCTGTAAACATTGTACATGTGCTTTCAGACCAGTGTTAAATCCCCATTGACTTCAGACATTCTTTTCATCAGCATAAGGACTGCAGTATTTAGTGTCCTGATAATCATTCTTCTTGCAATATTGTCTCTCTATTGCTCTACTTGACTCATGGGTAAGATTTTATTTTCTTTAAAATTTCAGTGTATCTTCTATGCAGAGAACTCTGATGTAGAGTCCTGCTCCTTACTTTGTAGGTAATAATACAAAAAATATGATTGATACCCCTGCAGCGCTGAGAAGTACTTGCAATTGGGCAGGAGTAGCACAAGAAATTACATCTGTTAGTGGTGATTAAAAATATGCTTTCTAAAAATCATAAATTGAAATTATAGAAAAGAACAGAAAAGATTGCTGTAGTATTCTGTAGAGAACTCCCAAGCAATGGGTTAACACAAGCAAGATAAGTATCAAAGAGCTTGGACACAGTGCTCTGTTCTGCTTGTATTTGTTCTAAAGAAATCTGAAGATCTATATGAGCCTGATGGGTCTGTGTCAGGGACTGGGCTTGTAGTATTTCTTTCTTTGTCAGTGAGTAGAGGTTGTCTTCAATTTTAACCTATAGTCACAGTCCTGTGTTCACTAGATAATTTCATGTGTATATCCAACTTTGAAAGGTAGCCATTTAAGTGAAAATTTTACAGGAACAGAGATATAAAGTGCAGCAAAGCATGTGGAACTGAGGATGGCATCTTGTGCTGTTACTGGATTACTTGGGAGGAAACCTAGAATGTCAAAACTGTTTGCTGCACCCCTGCGCCACTGGAAGAAATAAGGCATTTCAAATTAGTTTACCTTATTCTAGGAAATTCTCCTCCTTGCTTCAAAGTAAGTATTACCTCATCATCACATGCCAGACATACCAAGAGAAAATTTCTTTTCAGACCAAAATACAACTATCAGTTTTTTGCACGAGGCAACATCGCCAATGTCTCACAATGACTCATCATGCTTCTAATCTGCTTTATACCTGGGGCAGAGCTTGTTACCAAATAATCACTAATATTGTTTGTTTTCTCAAATATGACTATATAATGACACCTGACAGATGAACAAGTTCTTGTATAATAGTAGATGGCCATACATAATAAAAGGAAGAGGATTTGCAGTTTGCAGAAATTCTCTTTTCCAATAGCAGTCATTTGTGGACACACTGTAATTTGTAAACTATATTTACCAGATCTTACGAGCATTTCGGAACAGGTGAATCCATTAGAAAGTCTTTTCCTTTTGGTGGAAACATTTCCTAATTTTTTACTCTTTGTATTTCAAAGAAAATTACACAGAAAGCAGCAGAAAATTTCATTTAGTATTTCTTGGCATGCAGGAATAAAGCCAAGTATTCTTTCTCTTGTATAGTAGGAGAAAATTAGGAAAGGGGCAATAATTGGACAGAACAGACAGGACATTCCTGTTTAAGGGGGCAAATTATCAGCAGGTGCCTGTTGGCTCTCATTTACTCTAGCAAGGATTAAAGTAGAACATAAGAAGATTAATAAATATCAGAATTTCTGATGTCCAAAAGATGAGAGCTTGAGTTTTTCTTACAAATGTTTAACTGGTCACCAAAACCTCCTAAAAACAAAATGCTGATTCTGGAAATACAGCTTTTATGGTTGACTAGGAAATTACAGAAAGGGCATGGGGATATGTAGTGGATGCCCCAGAACTCATCATAGCAGGGACAGCTTTCAAAAGAAAAAAAAGTAAAAAAAATTCCAAGTGCTATTTGCAGCCCTGCATGAGGAGAGGTCCAAAAGGCCAGCTCATAGTCCACCCATGGTTACCCATGCACACTGCTGGCAGCAGCTTGGCACTGGTCCTACACACTCAGCAGCAAGGCCAAAAATGAACAGAAATCTTGCAGGAGCTTCCCTGCTTGTCTCTCTCCATTGATACATCAAGCCAGAGGATAAGAGACAGCATCAGGTTCCACGTGGGATTTCTCAGCAGGGCTCCTCTCCCATTTCAGATCTGAGAGACTGTGGTGATTTGTATCTTTGAATATGTTTTTCCGTTCACTTTCCTTTAATGATGCTGAAGAAAGGAGTGTCAACACAAAGGAAGATGTATCTGTCACTCTGTACTGCTCTGGTTTCTGGCAGCAGTCAGGCTGCTGCTTGGAACTGGCTGGAAAAATTACTGTGGTTGGTTTTGTTGTTGATTTTCTGAGGAAGGAAAAAACTGCCAGCACTGATAACTCATTTAACTCAGAGCATACAAGCCATAAAGAAAAAAATGTTCCCAGAGATTTTTCTCAAAAACCTGAAACTTTCCAAATGTGCTGCTTGAAAGTGCTTCTCTTGCATGGCCATACCCTGCATCCCAGGGACCTCAGTGGCCTGGACCTGGAGATGAGCACATCCTCTTCTTAGGGAATCTTGGGCTGATTCCATGGGAGATGTCAATCAAGGGAACACAGCTCCTAAAATGTTTTCTACCCAGTTTGTCTCCAAAAGTCACAGAATGGATGAGGTTGGAGATGCCTCTGGCAAACATCTAGTCCAGTCCATGCTCAGAGCAGGGTCAGCCACTGTGGGTTTCTCAGAGCTGTGTCCAGTTAGATTTTGAGTATCTCCAAGGATGGAGATCCTACAACCTCTCTGAGCAACCTGTACCCAATGCTTGGTCTACCTCACAGTAGAGAATCAGTTATGCTGGCAACACTTCCAAAATAAAAATCAATAATTACTAACCTCTTCAGGTTCTCTCTCCAACTCTCTCTCTCTCTTTTTTTTCTTTTTTTCCCCTAAGGAAACAAAGATGTGCAACTATTTTTATAAAAAGAAACCATTCTTTTAAAGGTCACTTTTTTGTTTTCCTCAATAAACTCTCCACAAGGACACTTTGGGAATAATCCCAGTAGTTCTGTCTTTATACCAGAGCAGCACCTGCTGTGGGTCACATTGTACTGTTGACAGAAGATTTGTGATACTGGTGGCCATTATTAACATTATTTATTTAGTACCTGGCAAATGCACTCAGGTTCTGTGTGCTAGGCACTGCCCAAATAAACCACAAAGAACACAACCTGTTTTCAAAGAAAGTGTTATTTACCTATTAAATAGTCAGCTGCAAAGAAACAGGTGGAGAGAAGCACAAGCTTTTGTGCTGATCTCTGAATTTCAGTATCATTGCTTCCCCCATTGCAGCCGTACATGGGAGGGGAGTGAGATCCAGGCTGTGCTACCCAAGGGTATTAGCTGATCAAATGGACAGAGATGTCCTGTAGGTGTGACCTGTTCTGGAGCCCTATGAAATCACTGTGGTGGCTGTTGGGCTCTCTAGTCATTTTTATAAAGCTGTAGTAGAAGTGCATTTAAGAATTAATACTTATTTTAGGAGGATGTACTTTTCAAAATGCTTAAGAAATACTCATTTGCGTTTTTCAGTTGTGTTTTTCAGTGAGGAAATGAGCTCAAAAGAAAAATTAACAAGTGCAGTTATTTCGTCTTGTAGAAAAATAATTTTCCATTTAAAAGGCATATTTTCAAGTCTACAAACAGAGCAGTAGGGAATTTCTTTTCCCAATACCGCTTCCCAAATAGAGGAAAAAAATGAAGAAAACTTGTGATTTCACCAGAGGAAGAAAATGTTGTGTTTATGGGGGCAGGTGTTTTGAAAGGTGTCCAGAACTTTTGGGGCAGTCCAGCACTTGTCCTTCCAAATGCTGCCACTGAGAAGAATGCCAGAAAAAAATAAGAAAGGACATGAGGTGGCAGATTCAAAAAAATAATGTCTTTGGAGAAGAAGCTGCTTTTCTGGAGCACAAACACAGCTCTAAGGACACTAGTGCTGACATCGGCTTCTAGACAGGAGGGTGTTTTGGAGGGCTGTGGTGCAGACCTCTCTTCCCCACTCCACAGCATCCCGAGCAATGCCAGCCTGCCCTTCCAGCTGGGCACAGCCCTACTTGAAGTTCCCAGGGCTGGTCCTTGCCCAGTGGCTGCCAGACCATGTGTGTGCCAGAGCCAGCGGTGCCCTGGTGCTCGCTGCAGGCGGGAGGCAGCATCACACAGGCTGATTTGGAGCCTTGGAGGTGATTTGGAAGCAGGAGCTGGTACCCACTGAGGTGTGAGTGGGCACATAAATCCAGCCTCAGGATCAAAGATATCTCCTCCCACAGGGAGCACTTGTTTGCAGCAGTGCTGCTGCATCTGGCTCCGATTGCAGATGGAGAAATCAGACATCTCACTCTCCCAAGGAGAAGAGGCAGAGCTGAGCATGCAGCCATTGCCTTGGCACAGGCACTGTTTAGGTCCTTCTCTGATACTCAGGGTGTGCAGACCATATGTTACATCCCAGCTTTCTCTCTTCTATTTACTTCTATCCATTTTCCCATGTGCCATCAGCCCTGAAGCTCTTTTTTCTCTACTAGTCTCTCTTAGCCAGCAGACTGTAATTCCTAGGTCATCTTCAAAGGAGATGCAGAGCAGTAAAACCCAAGCCCTGGGGTGATGCTGTAAGCTTATCCTCCAGCAGAACCTGGAGAAGCCTTGTCTTTCAAGGAAGCATTTGAAGTGTTCTGTGAAACACAAAACCATTTTCCAGGTTGCAACACAGTTATTCTTCTTGGCCCATGAAGTAGAGCACATGTAAATTTGAAGTGTAGGGGTGGCACACAGTTTTTTCATGGGTTTATATACTGGTTTTTTGTTACTGCACTTCTGGATGAGAGCAGTCAGCTGCAGGTCATGGCTCTGCACGTTGTGACCTAATGAAGAAAAACTTAGAGGGAAGATTGGGCATCTTTGGGGTAAACTGTCCAGCAAAGGCTTGTTCTCTCAAAAGCAAAAAGCATCAAATAGCAGGAAATAATTTTTTCCATGAGCATGTAGCCCAAAAGCACTTTGTTTTTTGACTCCTATCCACATTTCGGTTTCTCAGCCAGGTGATTCCTGCCACCTCCTCTAAGCTGTTTTACTCTCTGGTATTTTTTGATAGCAACTGTGAATACTCATATATTCCTGTAGCTCAGCCAGATAGCTTATTATTTTTTATATTTCACTGGAAAACACGGTGTCGAAAAATAGCCACAGAAGTGCAGGCACCCTCAAAATAAACTTCTATCTACATGCAAGTAAAAAGAGTTTATTGGAGATTGTAAACTGCATATAATAATTTGGACCAGTCTCATGTAAAGGTGCCTGGAGTGATACCTTGCAACAGTCTAGGGCCCATTCCAGCAAGATTTGATTTAATCCATGCTGCAGTTAGTGTTTTCTTTGGAACTGCAGTGTTCTAGGAAAGATGTTCAGGCTCCATCTCATATTTATTGAGTAAATGCCAATTAGGCTTGTGTTCAAGAGATCTTGACAATGCCAGTGTTGCAGTATTTAAAGAGAAAACAACAAAACAACAAAAAGCCATACACAAACCAGAGAAATTCTTGCTGGCAGTTCAAAAATGCTCACACAGGGCATGGGGTGTTTGTCTCAGATTCTGAGCTTGCCTCCAACTCAGACTCTCTCATCTTGCAGTACAATTATTCTGTAGAAGGTCAAAAAAGAATTTGATTTTTTTTATATTCTCTCCAAGCAGCTCCAAGACAGAGTGAAAGAGTTCTCAGGATGCCAGAGCCAGCAAAGTCAACCTCAGCTCCCAAAAAGGGCTCCAAGAAAGCGGTGACAAAGACCCAGAAGAAGGGCGATAAAAAGCGTCACAAAAGCAGGAAGGAGAGCTACTCCATCTATGTCTACAAGGTGCTGAAGCAGGTCCATCCTGACACTGGCATCTCCTCCAAGGCCATGGGCATCATGAACTCCTTCGTCAATGACATCTTTGAGCGCATTGCTGGAGAAGCCTCCCGCCTGGCCCATTACAACAAGCGCTCCACCATCACGTCCCGGGAGATTCAGACAGCCGTGCGCCTGCTGCTCCCAGGAGAGCTGGCCAAGCACGCAGTCTCAGAGGGCACCAAGGCTGTCACCAAGTACACGAGCTCCAAATAGCCAGACATCCCCTCTGCAATGGGACCATCGAGCAGCGGGCCCTCCACGCCAGCACAGGTAGGCAGCCATGGTCTGGATGAGTGGTCACAGCTATTATCCACAGCAGTTTGCAGCCTGGGGATGCCCAGACAAAGAGGAGACAGCGATCTGGATGTCAGCTGATTTTTATCATCTGTTCAGGATGTAGACAGGATTTGTCAAAGCTGGTAGTGGAGGCCCCTGCTTTTACATCTCATTCAAAGAACCGACCAACCATGGTATATCCAGTCTCTTCTGTGCTTGGCAAACATTCATGTTTGGCACTGGGAGGGGGGACTGGCAGCAGCAACGCAGAGACACCATCAGCGAAGTCTTCCTGTTTGACTGCTTTCTCACAGTCATCTGATATGGGAACTGAAGAGTCAGCACTGCATCCTCTCTCTCAGAGCCTGAATCCCTCCTGGCTGCAGCGGCTCAGCCCACCCTGTGCTGGCAGAAGTGGCATCAGCAGCTACCAGGCACATATTGATTCAACAGCTATCTGTGCTTGACAGCCTGTTTTAAAGAGCAAGCCTGGCAGGCAGATGCCCACGTTGATACCAAGCACTAATCCTCCTCCTTGCTCTTGATGGATGAGCCATGGAGCAGGATGAGGGTGCTGGCGCAGCTGCCCACTGCCTCCCACCTTGTGCTGAGGTGGAGGGATGGACAAGGTGGGATGTTGGGAGTGGGCCTCTATCTTTCCTGGATGCTGCTTTGCCTGCCTTAGGACTTGCTTTGGCATGCAAGACATTGCTAATTCTGCTGCTTTTCAGAGACTTTTCCTGCCTTGATGCTGCCTGGGTGTCCCGTAAGTGTGGGCAAGATGGGGTGGTGCCCATGGGGGTCCCTCTTCTGTGAGCAATAGGGTGGTGCAGGACAAACAGCACAGATGTTTTGGGCAGGGACTGAGGATTTGGGAGGCATCTGGTGTGGGAGCACAGGTGGCTAGTGCATTTTGAGGAGTGGGAGGAAGCTCGCTCCCTGCAGAGGTCACTGCAGGCAGCTCTCCTGGCCCTGCCCTCCCTAATTCATTCAGCAGTTAGAAAACAAAAGCAAAATTGGGGGCTGGATATATAAGCACTCTTGCCTGCATCCCAGATATTTAAAAGATTGAATATTTTTGAACTGCTTCAGATATGCCCCATATCTTTTCAAAGCCCACAGTAAGACGAGCAATAGTGAAATCGCGATAAAGCCATAAGGGTTAAGGGAGGAATGTCTTGGTTACAGGTTTATCTTGCCCAGACTGCTGGATAGCAGAAGGGCCTGTGTGGAACTGGTGTGAAGTTGAAGCTTCCTACTCAAAACACAAAATTAGCCAACATTAAAAAAAAATCAAAGTCTCTGGTAGGCAGTAACACTCAAAGAAAAAATATTCATGTCTAAAATAACAACAGCTTTCTGCAACTTAGTCTGTAAATAAAAGGAGCAGCAAGGAAGTAGGATCCATAACTAAGTGCAGATTCCCCCTAAGTTTCAAGACCTTGTTTTTATTTTACCTTGTTTTACCTATTAACTAAAAGGTAAATTCATATCCCAAAATAGCAGCCATGCAATACATTTCTATCTTTCCCCTGCATTTATCTCTATCCTGTTTCTTTACACTTTAAGAGTGACTGGGACCTTTGGCAAGTTTATGTTGCTTTTGGAGCTGTAGGACTCTGCAGCTCCAGAAGATTCACATTGCAGTCATTTTTGCAGTTGGTCTGAGGCACAGCCCTGCTCAGAAGCCTGAGAGCAGCCTGGGGTCTGGTGTGGTCTCTGTGCAGGGGTGAAGGTCACTTTGTTTATGGGCTGCTTGCACACCCCTGCTCTGGGCGTGAGCTCAAAGTGTGTGTGACCCCACACTTGAGAGGGGGCTTTCCTCACACCCTCTGCTCAGCAATAGCACACAGCTGTGTTTTATAGCCTAGTGCCAGCAGGAATCTCTGCTGGTAGCTCTCAGAAAGAACAAAACCCAGCTCCCTGGGTGCCAGCACCCACAAGGAGCAGCTCCCAGCGACAGCACCTGTATTCAGTATCAGTAGCATTGCTAACCTGGGCCTCTTGGCCAGGACACTTTGTGGGTGAAACGTAGTAGTTCCTTCTGTTTCCAATCAAATAGTCAAAATCAGATACCAAAGATTAACATGTACCTGCAGTGGGCCTAGAGCCACCATCCTTCACACCTCTGCCACAAGAAATCTGGGCAGTGGATGATGCATCAGGGGGACTGTTGAGAGTGAAGGGCTGGATGGCATTGCTGGAGCTTTCTTCTGTCCCTCTGAGCTGCAGGTCAGAATTCATCCTCCTGGGGAGTTCTCTTGAAGGCAGGAATTCAGAGTGGAATGAACCCACTCCAGTCCAAGAAATGTGTTTGAGCCAGGACACACATCTCCCAGGATCACCTGGTACAGCCTCTAAGCTCTCACTCCTTTGAGCAAAGCAGAGTCCCACTTGAGTCTCCACAGACTGCAAGAAATCAGGAAAATAAAATGAGGTATTGGCCCTCCAGGGTCTCCTGGGCAGCTCAGGGAGCCAGGAGTGAGGCTGGGCACTCAGATGAGAGCTGCTCACTCCATACTCAGAGTACTGGTTCCATTTTCTTCTGTCAGTGTTGTCATTCTTCATTTTTGGAGATTGTTTCAGAGGGAGGAGAACCAGTCATTTAAAGCTACAAAAATACTTGAAGGCTTAAAGAAGATTTTTATATTGTCTAAAGCCAAGTGACTGAAACTGGTCATGTCCATGCATTTATAGTTTAGGTGGTCTTTTTATGCATAATTTGCTCTTCACTGTCTATTTGTATTTTTTTTTCACTCACTCCTGACAATGTGAAGCACAGGATTGAGGAACTGATCCCTGTTAAAACAAACCTTTTTTATTCTTTTCCTTTCTTTCAAGCTTTGTTTTAACCCTGTTCTAGTGGCTGCTCTGTTCTGTCACTGTTGTGCAGACATTTGTGCCAGCAAAGGGAAGGGATGATCCAGGAAAGGCAAAGCTGGTATAAGCTAGGACTGACACAGAAAGAATTTGGGAAGTTAATGTACAGGACACCATCCACAGCAGTTAAATGGGAATTAGTTTGCATGTGATGAGCTTGGGCTGAGCCTTAATGTTAGAAGCAACAGAAAGTGGTCTACAAGTTCAAGGGTTAATTGTCCACTAAGTAATCTGAAGTGTGACATACTTCACGGTTTCCTGGTAAGGAGGTTTGCTGCAGAAAATGGATTCTGCACTACAGGATCAGTACTTTTAAAAAATACATATTTCCAGCTCTGGAATTGAGAAAATGTTTTAAAATTGAAGATAATATACCAATCCCCACTGTCTCTACCTGATTCCTACTGCAGTCCCAAAAGCATCTCTGTGCTATGCCTGTGTTTTGCCAATTAAAGTAAATAAACTACAGATTGAAAGTTGGAGTGTAAGATGAAAAAGTTAATACAGCCTTGATACTAACCTCATATTAACCCCAAGGATATCACTGCACTGAGTTATTTGTTTTCATGTACAATTTAAAAAAGAAAACAAGCTGCTATAGATCTTCTGATTTCCCTGCTTCCCTAGAAGGGCCTAAAGTCCATCTGCCTTTCACAGCAGAGTTCAACCTATAGAGGAACTGAGAGCCCACCTACAAGGAGGCTTACTCCTGCTCAGGACAGACAGGTTTTTAGTCAAGCATGGGGAAAACGAGCAGGTGTGGAGGGCAAGTGCCTGTCCTGGACACAACTGTGTGCCCCACAAAAGGACACTGAAGAGTCCTGCCCAGTGCAGCTGTGTGGCCTGTGCACCCTTCACTCTGGTAGAGGCAGCCATATGGGTAGCCCCAAGTCCTGCCACCCCTGGAGTAGAGTTTGGCATGGCCTCTGCACAGCCCTGAGCATCTGTTCCACCATAGCATTTCCTGATGGGTTACATCCAGATCACATTGTTTACAGGGAAAGGAAGAATGGGAACTGAATAGTAAAAATCACTTAATGACAGAATTTGGAGAGTTTCCTGGGACCACCACCTGGGGAGCAATCTTTCATGCTTACTCCATGCATGGTATCTCTTGGGCTTATGTACACAGCGTTTTTCTGACAGTAAGTGTTACATGAAGTATGATCCATGTTATATTGCTGCTGGGTTATGACCTTAGTGCTAATTACCTGCTTTCTGTTAAGTGTCTAAATAAAATGTAACTTCCAACCTGTTGGAAGTCAATGGTACCCAGCTGTCGGAGTGTCTTTGCTTCTGCCTTATCACTAGTGTTTCCCCAAGCCCTGCATTTCTCTTTCTCTATAGTTCCTCCAGACCTGGGGTGACAGCAGCCCCCCTCCAGCAGAGATGGAGCACAGCTGATCCTGACAGAGGGTCAGTTGTCTCCCCCCCCACCCCGGCACGGAATAACTCACGCACTCTAAGATGCAAAAGAACAAAAAGGGGGCGAAATTTTATTTCTGACCTCGCAATATATAGAATTCCAAAAGTGACAGTGGGCTGGAGGATGAAATTGCCACCTCTCTAACCACACCGGTCAAACCAACAGTCCATTAATTCTCTCCTCCCACAAAAAATACAAAACAATCATTATTTACATGAACAGTGTGTGAGAACTCCAGTAGAAATATGTAAACATCAGAAGGCATAAAAAACTGTTTAAAGAACAGGGCGACAGTCATTTAAAACCCAGAGGAGCCCCTCACTGCCCAGGCTGCCATTGAAGTCCTCATTGGGTGTCACTCAACCCAAACACAAGTGTAACACAAGCATCTGTTTTTCTCAAGCCCTTCCAATGATCTTGTCCCAGGGAAAGCTGAGCCTGCAATCTGTCCTTGCCACACTCCTGCTTTGGGTGTGCTCTGACTGGCACCCATCATTTACCCCCAAGCAGGAACAGTTTGGACAGAACGGTGTGAGATTCTGTGCCTCAAGATGTGTTTTATGCACATTCAGAATTTCTGTTGGTCTGCATTAACAATTGCTCACACTAGAAACATTATTTCTTGGACTCTTGAGAAGTTTATAGGCAACAACCATGGGATAAGATGTAGCATCTGAAAACCCCAGAAGGAAGAAGATCTTCCCTTTAAAGAATGATTGGTAAATACAGTCCAGTGAAACACTTAACCTGCTGGACATCAGCATCATAATGCATTCACTGGAGTGGGAAATGCATGTGCCATGCTGGACACTGCTGGAGAAACAAGGCTTCAGGTATGGCATATAACAACAATCAGAGCTAAAAATGTTTCTGGTGTCTCTAAAGAAATACAAGCTTAGCATAATTGGGAAAATCAGTATTCAGAGAAAAAAAATCCCAACTAGCTATAACTAGCTGATCTGAAGTATTTATTTCCAAGGAAATAAATGTTGCTACTTGTACTGGTTTTCAATTTTGATACCCCTTTCCAGAGAGACACCCACAGTGTGCTTTCAAAACAGAGTTGACACCAAGGTATCACAAAGACCCAAATCAGGTTATAAAAGGTAGAGCATAACCCTATGGTCATGCTTCTCCAGGATGTTGGGAGAGAACTTTTTTTTAAAAATTATCCAGTTACCATCTAATCATTACTGACTGGTTATTCAAAGACCATTAATTGGACTCAGGTGCCAGATGAATGTGGCTGCTGGTAGAACCAAATAGAACTCAGGAACATCAAAAGAAATTATGAGAGGATGAGGTTTGAATTGAGAGGAGCAGCCCTTCATGCAATGAGAATTTCACCTGTTAAACCTTTGCCATTGGCTGTTGATGCTAGATTTGGCTCAAGGACAAACAACTGGGATAAAAATTCTTTAAGTCTTGCTAAACAGATAAAAACTGAAAAATCTTATAGGCTGAGAGAATATAGAAAGGAAGAGACTGTATGTGTCTGTCCTATTCCTACAGTCTTTTTTGCCTATTCTGTCACAGCCACAGCTGGAAACAAGATTTTGGGTTGGATGCACCAAAGGGCTGGTCCGTACACACATGAACTTTGAAGAGTTTCAGGCAGTTTACTCAGGTCTATGGAGCTTAGATCTAAGCATGAAAGAAAGTTTTTTACCTTACTTTTCTGTGTGTGTCCTGCACTTGTTTTGATGGTTGTGTGGATTCTGTTACCCTGGCTTACATGAAAGATGCAAGAGGTGTTTTGTTTCTAAAATAGTTAGTGTTAATAAAGACAGAGGTTGTGAGAATGAGGAATTGAGCTTCTGCTTTCTCATATGATGTAAAGCTGCTCTCAAAAGCGTTTCACATTTTCTCCCTTGAAGCAGTTGATTTAAAAGAAAAAAAAAAAAAAACAAAACCAAAAAAAGACATAAACCACCACACCATTTCCTGCCTTTTAATGTCCATAATGCTAATTCCATCCCCTGGCAAAAAAAAATCTCTTACAGAAATTCATTCAGAAAAAAAAAAAACAATTCTTACAGATTTAACTTTCTTCTAATAAAAGAAGACTATTCTAATAGTAGTAGAAATGGGAAGATTGGTAGGAATGAGAAAGGAATGGCAATGGGTGGGTGTGAGGCCCCAGAAGGGACCAACAGCAGGAGGTTGTAAGTGAATGCTGCAAGTTTGACAGATGCTGGTGGGAACTCGCTGAGGATGCCAGCACACACAGCGTGCTGCTGTTGGGGAGACAGGAAATGAAGGACAGGGAGTGAATCCTGGTAACTCCCAGGGTTGGAGCAGGAGGGACAGTGTAGTTGGTACCAGGAAAGGGACAAAAGGCACATCCAGAGCCAGCACATGTCACCAATTCAAGAGCAACAGAGGAAAGGTGATGCAGACATGAGGGCATCATACCCAAGCTCAAAGGAATTGCAAAGCTGGACACACATATCCTGAGCGCTGGTCAGACAGCTTGGGTACAGCCATCTCCTAAGGGTGCTGCTGCTTAAAATAACTTTGTCTGCCCATCAGGAGACAAAGTCACTCTTCTACAGGGCTTTGTGTTCAGTTTGCTCCACTGTGGCTGCCCATCAATCTTTTGGGTGCATCCAGCCTTGGGGCAGGAAAACTTTCTCACCTTCTGGGCACCGCTCCCATTTATGGGCCATTAAATCTCCTCCTAATCAGGTCTGGATAACATTCTTTATACGAAGTACAGCCCTATTTGCCAAGACTCAGAAAAATGTCCAGCACAACTTTTCAAATAAACCAGGAGATGTTTCTGACCTAATCTGCCCCATGGACTCAGCACATTCTGGTGAATACCATGCCTGCTTCTGAAAAACTCACTCTGGACAGGAGAGCTACGGGTGTAGCTGATGTAAGAACCCAGTGTCCAATCTTTGCCTGGCGCTGCCTGGAAGTCAAAAAAGGAAGGAATATAAATGCACCACACTGAATTTCACTAAAGTGAAGGAAACATGAGGGTATTGAAACTTTTTTTTTTAGGTAGGCTTTTGGTTTGTTTGGACTGTCATAGTATCAAAGGGACTCAAGGAGGCCTGGTCTTGCAGGCACAGATGGAAACAGGCTATTGAACTGCTCTGTCCCAAAAAAACTGATCTTGCACAAAGCTTTCTGAGGCATGACTAAGTTACAGCAAAGTGGGAAGCCTGTGACAGTAAGGGCTGCCTGAGCATGTTGAGAGGAAGATGGTTGCTTTGTTGGGAGGTTGCTTTTTTGGGATGAACATATATCTCACAACTAATTTCTCCTGTCATCAAGGTAATAAAAAGTCACATCTGAGTATTGACTTCGGAGATGCAGGATCCTCCCATCTCTTCCACATACACCCTGCAAATGCTACATCCACATGTACTCACAGTAAGCCCATGCTGCTCCCACACTGACTTGCACTCTGGCCCTGGGTTAGAGCCAAACAACTGCAGCTTCAAGTGGAAAACTCCACGGTAGAGCAAAAGCATAACATCAGAATTCATCCCTCAGTGTCTCTTGCAGCTTGTTTTGTAGTGAAAGGACTGAGACACCTCACGCTGCAGCTGATCTTGGCTAACAAAAGCTGTCTCAGAGGGGTCCCAGCAGTCACTGGCCACCCAGCAGGAGAGAGCCCGAGCTCCTTTTAGCGCGGGTGATTCAGCACAAAGAACCTTTCCAGCTCAGCAGCAGGCATCTCACACCGCTCCACATCACGCCTCTTCTCACTGTTAAACACAGGGGGACAAAAGTTCTTACAAACCCTGATTCTGTCAATTCCCTGAGCATACGCCTGAAATGCTCCTTCTGGCATTTAAAGCTTCTTTAGATGGAAAAGAGAGAGCTCAGGATTGCATGCACCATCTATCCCTCTTTTGGAGCCAGCTTGGCTGATGGATCACCTCTTGTGACAGCTGGTGGCTGCAGGGCAGGACACTGGACAGCCCTGAGCTGCTGCAGAGCTCAGGGCGAGCAGCTGCATGCCATGCAGGGTGAGCAGCTGCATGCCATGCAGGGTGAGCAGCTGCATGCCATGCAGGGTGAGCAGGGGGCCATGCAGGGTGAGCAGGGGGCCATGCAGGGTGAGCAGGGGCATGCCATGCAGCGTGAGCAGGGGAATGCCATGCAGCGTGAGCAGGGGAATGCCATGCAGGGTGAGCAGCTGCATGCCATGCAGGGTGAGCAGGGGGCCATGCAGCGTGAGCAGGAGTATGCCATGCAGGGTGAGCAGCTGCATGCCATGCAGCGTGAGCAGGGGAATGCCATGCAGGGTGAGCAGCTGCATGCCATGCAGGGTGAGCAGGGGAATGCCATGCAGGGTGAGCAGCTGCATGCCATGCAGGGTGAGCAGGGGCCCTCCCTGCCAGAGGGAGGGTAGCGCAGCAACCAAAAGCTCAGCCATGTTTTAAAGGGATTAGAAGTGCATAGATGGCAAGAAGGATTTTCATAACAAAAGACTAAATAGATGCAAGTTTGCAAGCAACAGTAGCTCTCTGCTTTATGGGAAAGTTACACTAGATACTAAGAAACCACAGGAAGAAGTATTATGCCACCCTGCCAGCTGCTGTGGGGCTTGCAGCATCCTCAGAAACAGCCCATACCTGCTGGTCCAGGCAAGGAGCCTTCCCTAGGTAAAAGTAGAACACAAGATCATGCCCTAGCTGCCCTATTCATGTAAATGAAGAGTCAGGTCAGAAGGAAATACTCAGATTTTGGAAAATTTTCCTCCTTTTTTTTTTTTTTTTGTTTTGGATTTTTTTTCTGTTTCTTTTGCTGTTGCTTTTGCTTTTATTTGTTTTGTTTATATTTTACCATTTTGATAAAATCATTCATGTTTTCTTTGGGCTTTAA